ATAATTTGTTCTTTTTAAAAAAAATCAATTTTACAGAATTCCTAATTTTGTAACCTGGATATTTCTAATTCGTATCATACCATAAACAACAATACATCTATTTGTGAATTGAATTAGACCAAAAATTGTATTACAATGACACATTTCCATTAGGAACCAAAACTTGTATAGTACATAAAAACCAAAATTGAAACAAAACAACCTATAATATACACATCATTACATCAAATTATATTATCTTGGTTTCTTGGGGTCTTGTCTTTTGGTGTCTTCACTTCTAACACCTATAATTTTCAAATAGTAATAGTTGTTAGAAATTAAATAACATCATTGGAAATTATAACAAATAATAAATCATGAATGAAGAATATAAAGTACTTGTTAATTTTCCCATATTACTTCTTGATGATCGTTATGAATAGAATCCACGTCATCTCTATCAACTGCTTCATATGAATTAGGTACTTGTGTTGCGTAAGAAGGAGTGACAATAATATCAAAACTTGTATCATCACTATGAGGAATGTGTTTTCCTTTGAGAATAATTAATCATCTCCCCGATAAGTCTGCAGGGTCTTTCAGATAAAAAACTTGTTTCGCTTAAGTAGCCATGATGAATGGTTAGGATTTATAAGTATCTTTTCCAAGGTCAACTCATGTGAATCCCAACTCATAGTTTATACACCATTGTTATTGGGGACCCAATTGCATTTTAATAAAGGCACTTTGAAAGTAACATAATCAATCTCAAAAATCTCCTCAATGACGCCATAGAACGTGGTGGTTGACAAAATAGGATTTTTTTTATCTTTCGAACTAGAGAAATACATAGATTCGACCTCAACCATAACCCCACTATTTTTCATTGTACTACGATCATATTTTGCTTTTGTATAAAAGGAATAATTAGAAATAGTGTATGTTGTCCAAGTTATCACAATAAATTTTGGAATGTACGACAATCATTTAAGTGTCTCGGATGCACCACAATCATTAGAAATCCTCTTATTAAACCAACTTAAGAATTTTCTGTTATGTCGTGTCAACAACCACTTATCAAGCATTTGGGGATATTTTTTATTTATAATTGTTTTGCGTTCTTCTATGTAAGGTTCAACTATACTAAGATTATTCAATATATAGAAATGTGCTTCAAGAACTACATCCTGACTCATTGTCTTAACATTTAAACCTTGAGTACATGTACCATCAAATTTGTCAGCAATACAAGACTTTGGAATTCCAATAGACTCTATTTTCGACAAATAGTTTGAATAAAACTCTACAGCTTCTTCTGTCATGTACCTTTCAATTATTGAAGCTTCCGGTCGGTGATGATTCTTCGTATATCATTTAAATATCTTCATATATCTCTCTATATGATACATCCACCTTAAATAAACTGGATCACAAAGCATGATTTCTCTGACTAGATGAACAAGTAAGTGAACCATAATATTAAAAAATGATGGATGAAAATGCATTTCCAATTGACACAATATTATTGCAGCCTCTTCTTCTAATTTATCTATTTTTTTTTTTGCAATCAATAACTCTATTACATATAGCATAAGAACAATCTAGTTATGTTTACTCTTACACTTTTTGAAAGGATACCACGAATAGCCACTAGTAAAATTTGTTGCATCAAGACATGACAATCGTAAGATTTTAAGCCAATTAACTTGAGATCTTTCATTGATACAAGTTTCCTGATGTTCGAAGAGTAACCTTGGGGAAATTTGATAACTTGCAAACACTCACAAAAAAAATTATTTTCCTTTTTAGATAGAGTGTGACATGTTAGAGGCAAATAAGATCTTTTTCCTCTATATTATGGATCCAACTATTGTCTAATACCCATCCCCACTATATCTAACTTTTACTATCTTTAGTCTTGTCTAGAATTTTAAAATATTCCTATCAAACTATCACACACATTTTCTCCACATGCATCACATCAAGGCAATATCTTACATCAAGACTAGACTAGTATGGAAGCTCAAAGAAAATCGATCTCTTTTACCAAATATTTCTCTCAATAGGATCATCTTTATTATTTCCAAAGAGAACATTAAGGTGTTCTTGTTATTGATAAACTTCATCGCCAGTTAAAGGTTTAGGAGCACGTCTATACTCCTCCTCTTCGTTAAAAAAGCCTTATGTAATCTACGATAATGATTATTGGGTTTTATAAATTTATGATGCCCTAGGTAAATGTTCTTTTTCCAAACTTAAGTTGGTGAAAACAAGTATCAGATTCACATATAGGACACGCTTTATGTCCTTTGACATTGTATCCAACTAAATTTCCATATGCAGGAAAGTCATTGATTATGCAAAATAACATTGCACGCATCTTAAACTTTTCACTGAAATATGCATCATCAATGTCAACACATTTATCGCACAAAAGTTCTAAATAATCAATTAATGGACTTAGATAAACATCTATGTCATTTCCATGTTGACTTGGTCCAAAAATCATCATACTTAACATCATATAGTTGCGCTTCATGCTCAACCAAGAAGATAGGTTGTAAATTTGAGAAGAACATGCCACGAAGAATGGTTAGTACGTATATTACAAAAGGTTTCTTTGCTCAAGACCAAAATTTGGAAACAATGAATCAATTTTCTTCCATTGCTAAGAATCAATTACATGGTGAATGTTTCCATCATATTTTCTTTTGTCTGCATGCTATATTATATTCTTTGTGCCATTTGTATTAGGAAAAAGTCTCTTGAACCTTGAAATTATTGACAAGTACTATAACACTTTAGCGGGATGATGCTTCTTACTAACATTGTCATTGTCATCATCATTGTTGTTCTTTAACTTGTAGCGTGACTCACCATATTCTGGATATTGATCCATATTTTCATACTATTTCCTGTATAATATGCAATCATTAGAGCATGCATGTATTTTGACATACTCCATTAGGGCATGCATGTATTTTGAAATACTCCAAACCATTGGACACAATATCTTCTTTGTCTCATAACAACGATATGGAAAATTGTTATCTTCTGGTAGCATTTGTTTCAACAAATCAAGCAATTCTATGAAACTTTTATCTGACCACCCACTTTTTGCCTTCAGATTAAACAATTTTAACAAGGCATACAATCATGTAAAACTAGTGCACCCCTTATATAAAGGCGCATCTTTGGGGCTGCATAAATTATCATAATATGGGCTTTCATATAAGATGATTCTCCCATATCATATATCATATCTTCTAGTCAATCGTCCATATCTTCATCATATTCATCCATTTGTGACGTCCCATTTCGATTTTTATCCACTTCTCCATGCTATATCCATGTTGTATAATTTTGACATATTCTATCACAACATATGTGATAGAATATTTCTTTTCGACAGTTTGTTGATATTCCCGCAAACAAGACAAGGACAATAAAAGATACCATTATTGTCGAAAACATTTTTTTGGCAAGAAATTCAAGAACTCCTTTATCATACACCAGACCTAATCTACCAGCTTTCATCCAACTACGATCCATAATAAATTCTTAAATTTATATAAAAAGACTATTGTGAACTGCTAATGCTACACACACAAAACCTAAATCATATTCAATAATTCTGAATAAAACATAAAGGCACACTAACCTGAACAATACACACTGAATAATAAACATTAAAATTTCGAAAAACATAAACAGAAATCATTGCTTCATGAAAGAAATCAGTAACCAATGATTCACAAAATCAAGACGAAATTAAACATTCAGAAGCGTCAGAGAGAGAGAGAGAGAGAGAGAGAGAGAGAGAGAGAGAGAGAGAGAGAGAGAGAGAGAGAGAGAGAGAGAGAGAGAGAGAGAGAGAGAGAGAGAGAGAGAGAGAGAGAGAGAGAGAGAGAGAGAGAGAGAGAGAATGGTAACGTACTAGATATTCGAATAGGATGGTGAAGATTTCGCTTTCAGAAATTATTTTTCAAAGAGGATGGTGAAGATTTCACTATCGGTATCATCTCGTTCGCTAGGCATCCTATGTGCTATGAAAGGAATAAAGTACCTGTTATATTTTAATTTTGTGAAAAACAATTTCACAACAGTTGCACGATTCAACCATAATGCAATATGTAACTTATAACCATGGTTGATTAAAACAACTGTGTTTTCTATACTTTCAATTTTTAAATAAAAATAAATGTTAAGAAACACCCGTTTAATTTTACTGGAAAAATAAAAAAAAATTGAGACTGTGAGATTCGAAACTTGTCACCTGAATTATATGACAACGATTCTTTAAAGGAACTGTGATGAAAAATTTCTTTAAAAAATTAAAAAAATATACGTAAAAAATAAAATATAACTACAGTAGATAAATGATCATAGTAATATTATGTTATCGAAAATGTTTTTCGTAAGAGTGTAATTTTCAAAATTACCATCTTCCCATATAAACATTTTATCTTGGATACATTCAAATATTACTATAACCTTCTTATAGATCAACATGTCTTACATCATAAAGTTGTTTCTATATGTTTACTTGTATATTTGATTATTTCACTTTTGCATTAATTATAATAATATTAAATTAATTTAAACATAAAATAATCTTTTTATGAAAAAAGTACTTTTCTCTTCAACTATACAACAAGTTTTATCTAAAAATTAAAAATAAATAAATAATTCAGCAAGATGTAGTTTTACCTATTGCCTCTTGCAAGTTGTGTACATGCCACCAATAATTGATGTATTTCCCAATTGAGTGTATCCTATATTATATCCATTTATTAGACTATTATGATATAACTTAATCCCTTAGCAGCCTCTCCTGCCATATAATATAATCATGTCCTACTTCTATACTTAGCCGCCACATTAGATAAATATCCACTTGGTAATACCACACTTTTTATAAGTCATAGTATCTTACCAAAATTCGTTGCGTATAAATATGCTTTTATAGTCTCTCTAATGACTCACCAAACACCATCCATCAAAACCAAACTTCTCTCAACATGGTAGTACCAATGACCTCACTTCTCCTTCCTCTCATGGTTATCCTAATACTATCCACATTAACACAAATCTCATATGCTCAAAACTCACCACAAGACTACCTCAACATTCACAACAAAGCACGTTCTCAAGTTGGTGTTGGCCCTATACACTGGGACACAAAACTTGCCTCCTATGCACAAAACTATATCAACCAATTAAAAGCAAATTGCAAAATGGTACACTCAAAGGGTCCATATGGTGAGAACCTAGCATGGAGCAGTGGTGACATAACAGGAGCAGGTGCTGTTAACATGTGGGTCGGAGAGAAGAAATACTATGATTACAAGAGTAACTCATGTGCTGTTGGTTATAAGTGTGGACACTATACTCAGGTTGTTTGGCGCGATTCGGTTCGGGTTGGATGTGCTAAGGTAAAGTGTAATGATGGTCGCAGCACCATTATTAGTTGTAACTATGATCCACCTGGTAATTATATTGGTCAGAGACCTTTTGATATTTTTGAAGTTTCATTGAGCTTCAACCATGGTAGTTTTTAGGAGAAATAAGGTGAGATTGATAAGAAGTGTGGTGAATGTGAATTAAATAAGTTGTTGTATATGTGACAATTTTATATATATATATATATATATATATATATATATATATATATATATATATATATATATATATATATATATATATATATATATATATATATATATATATATATATATATATATATATATATATATATATGTTAGTATATGCAGATATTACTGGAAATTAACATGTCACCCCCCATTTTATACATCCCATCCTTTAAATTTTAATATTTTCAAAATATTCTTTTCATTATTTATTTTAAATTTTTTACTTTTGTTAAAAAAAATTACTATTAGTCAAAAGGATAACTTTTAAAATTTTCGATATTCTTAACAAATTTTCAATATCGATTTTTGTTGCATACCAAAAATTCTTTACATTCTACAAATTTCTGATACCGATATATTAAAATTTTTGAAATTTCCGGTTGCGATTTACCGGAAATAAATTTTTGGTAAATTTTATAAAAGTTTTACAAGTATCGGAAATTTAGCAAATTTTCAGTAGAAAACCTTTATCGAAAATTTCAAATTTCCGATATACTGGAAATTTCAGTTAAACTTCAAATTTCTGATTTGTATTTAGAATTAAAAAAAACCTGAAAATTTAAAATTTTCGGTATTTTCATACACCGGAAATTTCAAATTTTCAATAACAATCAAATGACACGGTAAAAACTTAAAAATTTAACAAAATTTTATGTATTTGCACGAAATTTCTAGTACAGAACCAGAAATTTTAAAAATTGTAGTATATTTCAGGGATATTTTCGTAACTGCGTCATATCTGGAAGGGTGGCATGTATAAAATGAGGGGTGACATGTTAATTTATCAAAGATTAGTCACACTTTTTAATGTCTATTTTACTTTTAGAGATTAAGAGGTTTTCTAGTTGAAATTCTATTTGATGAGTTACAAAATATCTGTGAGATAATATGGTCTGAATCAAGTAATGAACAGTTAAACATATAATAAATAAAAGACACTAAAATTAATAACAAAGTTTGGTACAATCGTCTGTCACATGTGTTTGGAGAGCCGCAATCTAATGGAAAGAAAATTTACTAATTATAAGTAGTTAGTGAAACACAACAATTTTCGTCTAAACTCTCCTAGTTCAATGTCTCTTTCTAATATCATCTGTGAATTTCAACTCATATTCCCCTGAATTGAGATCACCTTACTTTCACTCAAACATTTTCCTAAGTATTTGTAACTATCAATGTTCAAGACATGATAAATTTCACGAGTATAGACCGAAAACTCTATCTCTCCTAAGTAAGAAAGAACAATAGTGATAAAGGTTTACACAAGCAAACACAATGCATTACTCAAATTGATAAATCCTAAAAGTTGTGATTATTTTCTCTAAAGTGTTTTCGCCTTAAGATGAATGATCTCTTTATATAGAGATGACGATCCAACCAAAAAGTTCAATGAGGTAAATACAAAATGAGACAATATCTAATCAAATTATATATTTTCAAGTAAATTATGATAATTAAATATTTTTCGATCAAAATATTTTTAAAACAAATCAATAGATTCTTGAGCAAATTAGATATTTCAGAAATAGATCTTTCCGAGTTAAATCTTTTTGAAATAAATATTTTTGAAATAAATTTGGAATCAAACTTTTTCATGATAAATCTTTTCAAAAATGTGCCAAACAAATATCGAGCCTAGATGGCTCAACAACATTCGAGACATATTTCTTAACATTTTGCTTATAAAAAATAAGTCAATTTGAATATAATAACAAACTCTCCATCTTACTAATTTTTAAGAAACACGCATATTTACACATTGCTTCAAGAATTGAAGAAAGGACAAAGCACACTTAGAAGATAAAACGCGTTAAAACACGAGAATAAGATACATCAGACATAATACAAATCAGAAGTGTGTATTTCTCTATCTATTTGCCTTAAAAGAGTCAAGTGTAAAAAGAACAAAAAGTCAACAAAAATACCTCGGAGTCACCAACAAACCCGTTTTATTCTGGAACAAGAAATAGAGAGAGATGCAGAAGTTGCGACGAAGTTGAGCTTTTGAAGAAGCAGAGAGGATGGTGTGCCTGCAAGGTTAGCACTTCGAGGCTCAAGTTCGTATGTGAAAGAGAAGAGAGCATTTAAATTGTGTTCGAAAACTTGTTACCTGATTCAGCGTTATTCCTTATATATTAGGGAGAAAATAACGATTTTTCTATCTTTCAGACGTGGAATGCAAAGGATCGTTGGATGTGCATGAGGCATATATCTCTTGTAGCAATGCATATGATAATTTTATGGTAAGAAGAAGATTCCAGAAACACAATTGTGTAGTCGATCAAGAGGCTTTGACCCGGAACGGTCTATCTCAAGGTGATCGGTCCAATGTGAATACGGTCGGCCCAGAATAAAACTAACATAACAAACCATCAAACGGAGAACAGATCCAACCAAAAAAGTCAATCCACATAACAATCACAAACTAACAAAAAAAAAGATAATCAAAGAGATGGAATAACATAGGAACTATCAAAGGCATCTGCATCCACGTCATTATCACCATTCTCATTCCTAGAGCTGGATGCATCTTCAAACCGATCAACATGACCATTTATTATAAGTGATTGGCTAATATTTGTAGGCAACTTGTCAAGAAATATGTCTTGACTCATAATGAGATGTCTTGTCTCTGGTTGTCTCTGGCACATGTTACTCTGTCTGTTTGTGATCTCTTCAGCATTGATTACGAGTTTGGTTCTGTTTTTGCTAATCCAAAAGTTTGAAAAGATTGTGTTTTGAAAACGTATTTTAATCCAAATAAGGTTGAAGTGAATTTTATTAAATCATATATCTATATGAAGAGATTTTTATTGGATTTGATTTAATTAAAATATTTGGATTTGATTTTATTAAAGAAGATTTGATTTGTTGTTTTTAGATTCAACTCGTTTTATATCAAACCCTATTATGCTTTTATGCTAAATCGTTTTTTCTATTTAAGAAGATGGTTCTCTTTGTTTGAAGACTCAGTTGTTTTGAAAAAAATTGTTAATTGAGCGTTGTATTTTGGGTTCAACAGAGTTTTCATATTTTATTTTGTAATACTCTATCTTGAGAGTCTTTCATATTTAAGAATGATAATGTATTTAGACTAAAACTATGATTTGAATCACTCCATATATAATTGTTTCTTGCAAATACTTGGAAAAGTGTTTGAGTGAAAGTGAAGGGACTTCAGATTTAGGAGGAACCTGAGTTGAATTTCCATGGTAGGATTAGGAAAAAGGTACTAAATTAGGAGAGTTCATATGAGCATGTCGAGTACTACTTACTACTTGAATTTTTGAATTTCCTTTCATTTGGGAGACAAACCTCCAGACGTAGGTGACATTGCACCATATCATATTGTCTCCTACATTGTTTCAACATTGTGCGTGACATCTTATAGTTAACTGAACATAATTTTGATTGGCATCTAAGCAACCGCCAATACCTAGTTCGGTGAGCTCTAGGGTTTTTAATTGATTATGTTCAAGATGGACAATTCTAAATAAGAGGGTTATGTTAAACAACTATCAATTCTTTATGGTACTATTTATGATTATTGGAAACCTCGCATGGTTGATTTTCTTAAGTCATGGTCAATAACACCTAGAAAACGGTCATCAATGGACGGACTCCTCCAAAGATCATAGTTGAAGAAAATTCTAAATTTATGAAGCCTGAAAAAGATTAGACACCTGCTGTTGTACCCCAAAATTTTCCCTCCCATATTCTTCAAAGTTTTGACAAACATCCTCTTCAAATGCTTCAAAGTCTACTCAATGGTTACACAGTCAACCACCCTCCTAAGCCAGTCAAATTAGGGTTTTGGTTCCTTCAAGGAAGTTGAGGTTTTCAAGGGCTCAATCAAGTCCCATATGCTCATACACATTGTCAAGCACCTACATGTCAAGTTTCAAGACTCACAAGGTCAAGTTGCACAGTCAAAAACCCTAATTGCTTCACAGTCAACTGTAGGGGCAAAATGGTCATTTGGCAGTCAAAAGTCAAAATTTATGGTCAACATCTTATTTTGAAGCCACAATCATCATTTGGTTAAATCTTGACCATGATTTCACAAGAATGGCTCAAAAATCATCAAGGTGTCAAAAGTTTCTATTTTTGGACAGCTGAAAAGTCAACTGTAACTTGACCAAGGCATAACTTTTGCATGGTTCGTCAGAAAAATCCCATCCAATGCTCATCTTGAAGGGGAGGACATTTCCTACAACTCATCTTCACATTCCAAGTCCAAGAAATGCTCTCACAAAAAGTTATCAATTTCAACATTATAGGTCATTTTCAAAAGTCAACAAAAAGGCACTTTAAGTCAAAGACCATAACATGAGATTCGTAAATCAAAATGACATGGGACCAATGAAATTGGTTAGAGGACTTCAAGACCTTTCCAAAATGTCCAAGAACATGTTCATAGCTTCAAAATGGAGCAAGATATGCATTGGAGAAGTTGGGAAATTTTTGTGAAATGGCCAAAGTCAACTATCCTTGAAACTCCATTTTTGATAAAAGGGGCCCACTTTTTCCACTTGATTCAGCTTGGCCATGCCTCCCACGTGTCCCACAATTTATTTCAAGATTAAAAATTAATTTTTCCATTTTTATTTAATTTTATTTGATTTAAATCATTTTAAATCTTTAAAATTCAAATAAAAATCAAGAAAATTAATTAAGGGATATATTTTGTGTTGAATAACTTTGATACACCATCATTCACCTTCCAAATTCGTGCAAGGCCTATTTCAAGCAAGAAATTCAAATTTTGACAAGAATGGCAAGTTGTTTAAATGGTGTTCATGGCAAAATCCAAACCATAATGGCAAGGCTTCAAGGCTCTTTATTTTGATTGATACTCATTCATATACAGATGTGCAAGCATTCCTTACACAATTCACGAGCTAGAA